CAGCGCCTCCCCATTTTGGCGCGCCACTCGTGCGATTCGTGGCCTTCAAGGGAGCTGCACCAAACGCCCTCCTTGGCAGGTCTCGCATGGCAGCGACGCCCCATGGCGGTGCACCCCTCACGCGGCTCGGCTGCCCCACGAGGAGCTCCACAGGAGACGCCAATGGTGAAGTTCGCATGGCGGCGCCGCTCCACCTGGTGCAGCCTCCGCACGGTTCATGGCCAGGCTCCCTACCGGCAGCGCCACCAGGGGGATAATCAGTTCTTGTGCCCAGCATCTCACATGAAGTAGTAGTCGTAGTAGTAGTCGTAGCAGCAGCAGCAGCAGCAGCAGCAGTAGTAGTAGTAGTAGTAGAAGAAGTAGTAGTAGTAGTAGTAGTAGTAGTAGTAGTAGTAGTAGTAGTAGTAGTAGTAGTAGTAGTAGTAGTAGTAGTAGTAGTAGTAGTAGTAGTAGTAGTAGTAGTAGTAGTAGTAGTAGTAGTAGTAGTAGTAGTAGTAGTAGTAGTAGTAGTAGTAGTAGTAGTAGTAGTAGTAGTAGTAGTAGTAGTAGTAGTAGTAGTAGTAGTAGTAGTAGTAGTAGTAGTAGTAGTAGTAGTAGTAGTAGTAGTAGTAGTAGTAGTAGTAGTAGTAGTAGTAGTAGTCTAGTACTAGTAGTAGTAGGTAGTAGGTAGCAGGTAGCAGGTAGTAGGTAGTAGGTAGTAGGAGTAGGGAGTCGGGAGTAAGTAGTAGGTAGTAGGTAGTAGGTAGTAGGTAGTAGGTAGTAGGTAGTAGGTAGTAGGTAGTAGGTAGTAGGTAGTAGGTAGTAGGTAGTAGGTAGTAGGTAGTAGGTAGTAGTAGTAGTAGTAGTAGTAGTAGTAGTAGTAGTAGTAGTAGTAGTAGTAGTAGTAGTAGTAGTAGTAGTAGTAGTAGTAGTAGTAGTAGTAGTAGTAGTAGTAGTAGTAGTAGTAGTAGTAGTAGTAGTAGTAGTAGTAGTAGTAGTAGTAGTAGGTAGTAGTAGTAGTAGGTGGGTAGGTAGTAGTAGTAGTAGTAGTAGTAGTAGTAGTAGTAGTAGTAGTAGTAGTAGTAGTAGTAGTAGTAGTAGTAGTAGTAGTAGTAGTAGTAGTAGTAGTAGTAGTAGTAGTAGGTAGTAGTAGTAGTAGTAGTAGTAGTAGTAGTAGGTAGGTAGTAGTAGTAGTTAGTAGTAGTGTAGTAGTAGTAGTAGTAGTAGTAGGTAGTAGTAGTAGTAGTAGTAGTAGTACGTAGAGTAGTAGTAGTAGTAGTAGTAGTAGTAGTAGTAGTAGTAGTAGTAGTAGTAGTCAGCAGCAGCAGCAGTAGTAGCAGTAGTAGTAGTAGTAGTAGTAGTAGTAGTAGTAGTAGTAGTAGTAGTAGTAGTAGTAGTAGTAGTAGTAGTAGTAGTAGTAGTAGTAGTAGTAGTAGTAGTAGTAGTAGTAGTAGTAACAGTGGTAGTAGTAGCATTGGTAGTGGTAGTAGCTGTAATAGTAGTAGATGTAATAACAGTCGTCGGCGCAGTAGTAAAAGTAACATCAGTAAGAGTAGTCATAGTCGTTGTAATAGCAGCAACAACACAAAGAAATAATACTAAAGTTGGTAGTCGGAAAACAAGATACGAGTAGTAGTAGAAGTAGCCGTAGTAGTAGTAGTAGTAGTAGTAGTAGTAGTAGTAGTGCTAGTAGTAGCAGCAGTAGTAGTAATAGTAGCAGTACTAGTAGTAGTAGTAGTAGTAGTAGTAGTAGTAGTAGTAGTAATAACGGTTGTAGTAATAATAGTTGAAGCCGTAGTAGCCGTAAGAGTTGTAGCAGCTGTAGTGGTAGCAGAAGAAAAAGTATACACAATGGTGACCATGGTAATAATCGAATAGACGTAATAGTCGTAGTGGCCGTGACCATTGTAATCGCAGTCGTAGTCGTGTAATAGGTGGTAGTAGTAGTAGTAGTAGTAGTAGTCGTAGTAGTAGTAGTAGTAGTAGTAGTAGTAGTAGTAGTAGTAGTAGTAGTACTAGCACTAGTAGTGGTACTAGTCGTAGTCGCAATCGCAGAAATAATGTTAGTAGTACTCGTACTAATAGACGTCGAGCGATATGTAGCAGGTTTCATAATGGTAACGGTAGTAATATTCGTAGCCGTCGTAGCAGTAGTACTAGCCGTAGCAGTAGCACTTGTAGCAGTAGCAGTAGTAGAAGTAGCCTCACGAATAGTAGAAGTAATCATCGTAGCCGTAGTAGTAGTAAAAGTAGTAGTAAAAAATAAAAGTAGTAGTAGTAGTACTAGTAGTAGTAGGAGTAGTAGTAGTAGTAGTAGTAGTAGTAGTAGTGTCAGTCGCGAAAGTAGCCGTACTCGTAATAGTCGTAGTAATGGTTAAAATGATCGTAGTCGCGATATCAATAATAATAAGAATGGTAATCATGGTAAAAAAACTACTCGTCGTAATAAGAATCGTGAAAATATAAGCGAAATACAGATACTGGTCGCAACATTCGTAGTCGTAGTCGTAGTAGTAGTCGTCGTAGTAGTAGTAGTAGTAGTAGTAGTAGTAGTAGTAGTAGTCGTAGTAGTAGTAGTAGTAGTAGTAGTAGTAATAGTAAACATAATAATATTAGCAGTAGTAGTAGTAGTAGTAGTAGTAGTAGTAGTAGTAATAGCCGGAGTACTAGCAGTAGTAGCAGTAGTAGTAGTAGTAGTAGTAGTAGTAGTGATAATAATACTAGTAGTAGTAATCGTAATGGTAGTGGTCGTAGTAGTAGGCGTAGAACTAATAAACATGGGATTACTATTAGCCGCAATCGTAGTAGTATCAGCAGAAATGATGGTAGTAGTATCAATCACCGTCGTAGTAGTAGCAGCAACAGTAATCGTCGTAGGAATAGCAATACAGTACTCGGACTCGTAAAGATGCGAATAATAGTCGTAGTATTAGTAGTGAGAGCAGCGGTAGTAGAAATAGTAGTTGATGTCATAGTCGTGGTAGCAGCAAAAGAAGAATTTGTAGTAGTGTAATTATTAAAAAAGGAAATGCTAGTAGTACTTATGGTAGTAGTAGTAGTACTAGTAATACTGGTAGTGGTAGGGGTAGTAGTACCAGTAGTAGTAGTAGTAGTAGTAGTAGTAGTAGTAGTAGTAGTAGTCGTACTCGTAGTAGTAGTAATCGTAGTAGTGGCAAGGCTACATACACAGGGTCTGTGTTAACAGCTTGGAAGAGTAAGTGTAAGGGTACGGGCTCGGGAACGCGCGCAACAAAAACAACTTGCACTGACTTTCGCAAAAGAACCACTGAGGAAAGAGCACACCTGGATCCCAGAGAAGGCTTTATTCTCGAGTGAAATTCAAAAAGAGTCCATAGAGAAAACGGAGCGCTTCCAGATTCGGGACAATACCACTGTTTCGCATGTGTTGTATCAGTTCGCGCCCAAGGACTTGCACGCATCACAAGACTTCGCACTGGCGGTCCTTGCGCTCTGAGCGGGTCAACATTTGTTTTGTATTGACTCCCACAATGGAGCACTACGGAAAATAGAGCGCCTCCAGATTCCAGCAGAAACCCTAGTTTCGCATTGAGCGCGAAAAAAAGCCCACAAGGTAAATTGAGCGCCCCCCGCATCCAGAAAACAGCTTTGTGTTGCACTGAACTTCAAATGGAATATTTGAGGCAATTGAAACGTGTATCAAACGCTACGCGACATCGGAAGATAGTAGCTTCAATTCGCAGATCCCCCGGCCATAATGAAATTCGGCCTCGCCGCCCCTCTCCCCCGACCAACTCTGTCTTGGCACGGGATAATGAATTCTCAGGTCTGAAAGAGGGGGTATGCTTCATTATCTTGGGCACTCGGTTATCCAAAGAATATCTCCCTCATCTTTCGAACAACTTAGCGCTTGGACATGGAAGCCGATGATTCATCCTCTGCTCTACTCATTTCCCTGTCCCTCTTCCCTCCCATCCCTCACAAATCAAGCGAAAACAAAAAAAATGCGAGGCCCATGATCACACTCACACAAAGTTGTACGTTCTTCAGCCGGCAAACAAGGGGAGCACCGTCCAGGAAAACAATCAACGAAAGGGCGTCCTGCCCCGAGATAAAGCCTCAATAAACTACCAAAACAACGGCTCCTACCCGTCGGATGTTGATAGAAGTGCCCCTGGCCCAAGGTGCCCCTAGCTTTTCGCTCAATTTGGAGCCCCTGGGGCTCTCTGGGCCTCGTGAGGGGTGCTCTGGAGGCCGCCTGGGCCACCCCGAGAATCCTGGGGGTACCTTGGGCCAGGGGTACTTCTAGCAACACCCGAACCCGCGCGTCCTTCAATAACTGTTCCGGCCCAACGGAGTTCGACCGGAGAGATCCGGTAACTACACGCCTCGCCAGACGGAGGAAAAAACTTGTGCTGGGCGTCCTGAAGCATTAACGCCCGAAGCCAAGTACAGTGGGGGCGCGCATCAAAAAACCATATGTTCTTCGTCAAGGTATCCTGGGTTTCTTCGCTCCTCGCGCTGCGCGGTGACTTCCCGCAGCCATTGAAGGAGCTGCTGCGTTCAGGGTGCTCCAGGTTTCCCTTCAGGTGCACCTCGCGCGCGGGTTCTCAGGGTTGGGTTTCTTGCGAGGGCTTCTTGCGGCCGCGCCCGCACTGTACGTGCCAACCCGCTGGGGCAGATCATGATGGCGTTCGATGCCGACACTCATAGCCACATCCATTCCTCGCTGCACGTCGTGCCCTCGATGCAGAGGGAGGGGCAGGACCGGGCATCCTACGCCTACACCTGACGCCTCCCCCACTTCCCCCTTATGACGAAGCAAGAGAAGCCGTCTGGGGGGAAGGAAGACTGAGGGCCAGAGCGGCGGGAGTAACAGCCAGCTCTTGGGCACCTCTTGGGGGCCTCGTGAAGCCTCTTGGACACTCGTGGGGGCGTCTGATTCCGACCTTCCCGAACGCCTCTGCAATCGTGGGGGTCGTCGTCCAAGGTCGGAGGCACCGGCCGTAAAGCCTTAGCAAAAGGGCGAGGAAGCGCGATTCCGAGCGGGCTGCGTCCTCTGGCTCAAAATGACCACGTCCTCGCGCGACAAGAGGCCTGTGGCACCGAGCCCGCTCTCCCAACCATCTGACCCTCCCCAGGGCAAGGTCCTGGATAGAAGCACTCTTGGGCGGTCCCGGGTTCTTCAAATGTTTGCTTGCGCTGAACTGCTCTGCTGACAGGTTGGATGCATGAGAAGAGCCCACGCGGCCTGTGCACAGAGTGGGGCACAGGAGCTCGCCACGCGACGCAAGCAGGAGCAGTGCGACACATTCACGTGCGCGCACGTGCGCCATGAGCACCACGAGGCCTTTGCCCCGTGACACAACGAAGGCACGCGCACGCACACGCAGGAGCGGCTCGTGCACGCTGAGCCGCCCGCGCCCCTTCTCTCGGCATGCCGCGGTCGGATCCTGAAGCCATGGGGTCCTCGATTCACTTCGCCGCTCTCTCTCAAAGGCCCTGGGGCGATCACGAGACGACCAAGGATGAGGAGGCGATCCCGGCAACAGCCCCGGGGTCTAGGACCCGTATCCCTCAGGACCCCTGTGTCATTCGCTGCGAGGTGGGAGGGATGGAAGGAGGAAGAAAAAGGACGAGCTAATATGTAGAGTATCGGGTGCTATATATATACACGTATGTATATGCCACCGGGCAATAGGTTGCCAGGTGCTGTCTGGGATGGCTCTTAGAATTTTCTACAAAGGGCTGCCCACACTCTCGGGAAGCGCCCATGGGCGCGCACCACACCCTGTTTCCGAGGCCACAAACCCTCGCAGAATACAACAGACTCGCGCCCCCGAGGCTCAGATGCCTCTAGGACGAGGCCTTCGAGGCGCCCCCAGACAACCCCCAGAGCCTTCCCCGCAGGGTCTCGCGAGGCAAAAACCATTCTCCAAGCAGTGCTTGCACTTAGGGGGTCCTACTTGTCGTAGGGAACTGGGCCTGTGTAGCAGTCTGGCGGCTCCGTGGTCGCCGCCGTCGCCGCCGCGTCGCTGCCTCGTCACCGCCCGTCGTGTGGGCCTGTCGGGCGGTCTGGTGGCTCCTTGGTCGCTGTAGCCGTCTCGGAACATCAGAGAATCCAGAAGTTAAGAACAGCGAAGTCGCGAGTTCACTGAGTCTCTCAAAAACCGGTCCAGAATCAGTGAACTAGAGAATACACTGATTCTCTGAAAACCGACGCCCAGAGTCAGTGAACTAGCGAGTTCACTGCTCTCTGAAAACCGACGTCTAGAATCAGTGACCAGCGAGTTCACTGATTCTCCAGAAACAGACGTCCAGAATCAGTGAACGGACGAGTTCACTGATCTCTTGGCGGGTAGTTGAGGAGCCTCGTTGGGTTGGGGGGTAATTTGAGGGCCTCGTAGGGGGTAGGTTTGGGGCCGCGTAGGGGCCGTTCGGGGGTAGTTTGGGAGGCTCCAGAATCAGCGAACTATCGAGTTCACTAGTTTTGTGGCCTTTGGAGTCTCGTCGGAGCCTCTTGGGGGGTGGTTTTGGAACCTCTTCGGAACCTCTTGGGGGCCTGTTCGGGGGCTCCAGAATCAGTGAACTAGCGGGTTCACACTGATTTTGTGGCCTCTTTAATTTGGGACCTTGTGAGGGCCTCTTGAGGTGTAGATTTGAAGCGTGTTGGGAGCCTCTTCGGGGCGTGTTCGGGGGCTCCAGAATCAGTGAACTAGCGGTTCTCTGATTATGGGGCCTCTTGAGGGGTAGCTTTGGGACTTCATTGTGCCCTCTTGGAGGGTGGTTTTGGGGCCTCTTGGGAGTTTCTTGGGTGCCGCGTCGGGGGCTCCCAAATCAGTGAACTAGCGAGTTCACTGATGCTGGGGCCTCTCGGGGGCCTTTTGGCGGGTAGTTTTGGGGCCTCGTTGGGGCCTCTTTGGAAATATGTTCGGGGCCTCTTGGGGGCCTGTTCGGGGACACCGGAATCAGTGAACGAGTGAATTAAATGATTATGGCTGGTAATTTGAAGGCCTTGTGGTAGCATCTCGGAGGCCTATTGGGTGCTTCCGAAAATGGAGGAGGAGAAGGAGGAGGAAGAGGAGGAGAAGCAGCAGGAACAGGAGGAGGAGGAAGAGGCGGAGCAGGACGAGGAAGCGGAAGATGAGGAGGAGGAGGAGGATGAGGAGGAGGAGGAGGACGAGGAGGCGGACGGAAAAGTGAAAACTGGCAAACTGGGAGAGGAACACGTGAGGAGGAGGAGGAGGAGGAGGAGGAGGAGGAGGAAGAGGAGGAAAAATAGAGCTCGTTGGAATACTCACAGGGGGATGATCGGGGCTGGGGCAATTGCCCCCCTTCCCGTTCCTAAGAGCGTTCGAATACAAAACGAACATGGCATCACTCTGCAACTCTAGGGGCCCATCTTCGCCGTCGTCGCCGACGCCGCCCGCGTCGCCGTCGCCGCCGTCGGCGTCGTCGTCGCCGCCGCGGCGGCCACCGTCATCGCATCGACGTTTCATCGTCGCGTCGCTATCGTCTTCGCGTCACCGTGGTCGCTGTTGTCGCCGTCCTGGCTCTCCACGTGGTCGCCGCTGCTATTGTCATCGCCGTCGCTGTTGTCGTAGCCGTCGTCGCCGCGTCAAGCTCAGGGGTCGCGGGCGGTTCAGGGGGCCAGGGGGGGGCACGGGGGGCGCTCGGGGGGCGCGAAAGGTTCGGCGGCGAGGGACCTATCACGCAATCGCGTGTCGGAACCCATCTAAGGGACAGATCAGCCGGGGCACCCACGCCGCTAAAATCATCAAGCGAAACATCGCGGTTCACTGCTTACCTGAAGAGGAGAAAGAGGACGAAAAGAAGGAGGGGGAGGCGGGGGCGGAGGAGGAGGAACCATAATTGTGGGGGTCGGAAGCTGAAAGAGCGAAAGCATTTCGGCGATAAGATGTAGATCGAAAGGGCTCTTTTACTTTCCCTCCAGTATATAACAGTTGCCGGAGTTGGAACCAAACGGCGACAGAGCATCCGATTGGGGTCGGGATTGCGACGGCGATCGAACAGCTCTGGCGGAGAAGAAGGACCAAGGAAAAAAAGTAGAACTGCCCAACCCCAGGTGGGTTCTAGACTCAGCAGGGATACCTCGTCGCTGTCCAACCTAAATGTGCATGCACGGCGCGGCGGGAGGCGAGCTCACCCCAAACGGGAAGTCCGCTCAGGCTCTTGTTGGGGCGGCACTGGATGAGCTCACTCGTGCGCAGGAGGTGTGGGCTCGGCCAGGCGGCATATGTACATGTTGGTGACTCCAGGTCGCAGACACTGAAAGCCTGTCCTGGGACCTGAGCAAAAAGGGTGGCCCCAAGGTCATGGGGGAGAGGCGAAGCGGAGGCCGGGCGACCCTTGACCAGGCAGGTCGAAAAAGGGTGAGGGATGGAATGGCCATGAGAGGTGTGCATTTCTTTTCGCCACGATCGCGTCGGGCTCGCCATTGGGCAGGCACGGAAACACGTCACTTCAGCTAGCAAGCAATCTGAGTGTGCAAAACGCCCGCGCACAACAGGGTGTATCATAGAGAGACAACCACACACCCTACGTTCGTACAGTGCGGAATGGATCTTCCACGCTGTTCCACGTAACGGTTATCTCCAGCGGTCGCCATCGCCGCTACCCTAAATGGCACAAGCAACTGGAAGTGCGGATGATGCATGCGACCAGGCGCTTGCCATCTCTGGCCGCACCCGCAAGACGGCACGCTGCGCACAGTGACCGTGGGACGCGGGCGCGGGCGCAATGGCTGGCTCTGCAGAAACTGCAAGGCAGTCTGGAGGTCGCTTGAAAACGAGCGTGCGAATGCCGAAGTAGCGACAAACATCGCGCGCGTTAACGTGCCACGGGGTAGCAACTTAGGGTGCGCATTGGTGCCGCGCTGCTGCGCCGGCTTAGCCGCTACTGTGGGCGACGACGAAGCACTGGGGCTTGCGCGTCATGGCGGCGCAGGAAGCGTCGCAGCCCCGGGCGCGCGATGCGCGAGACACCGCAGTGACGCGTGTGGAGCGCAGTCGCAGCACAGGACGTCCTGGCGTAACCCCGGGTTTTGGCTCACGCGCTCAAGCGTCGCCCGCTTGCGAGCGCAAGTGCAGTTCAACTGTGTCCCAAGCGTAGTTCAAGTGTAGTTCAGGTGTAGCCCATGTAGTTCGCAAAAAATCCCAATGTGGTTCAAACGTAACCGAAGTGTAATTCAATGTTAGTTCAGGTGCGTGTCAGATGAAGTCCGGGTGTAGTTCAAGTGTATAGCAGGTGTCGTCAATGTAACTCATGTGTAGTCCAAATAGATATCATATCTTGTTCAAGTGTAAGGTAAGTGTTTGCTCAGGGGGTCCAAGGGAAGTTCCAGTGGGGCTCAAGTGTAGTTCTGGTGAAACTCAACTGTGGCGAAGTGTAGTCGTTGTAGTTCAAGTGCAATGCAAAAACAAAACAAACGTAGTTCAAGCGTATCCCACGTGTGCTTCAAGTGTAGCCCCAGTGGGGTTCGAGTATACTGCAGGCGTAGATTGAGTGTGGTTCAGGCGTAGCAATTCTATTTCAAGTGTGGTTCAAGTGTATTCCGAATGCAGTTCAAGTGTAGTTCAAGTGTAGTTCAAAAGTAAGCAAGTGCGAGTCAGGTGCAGATCGCGCGTGGTGCAGGCGAGTCCCTTGTAGTTCAAGTGCAGCCCCAGTCAAGCTCAAGTATGGTGCAAGTGAATTCCAGTGTAGTCCGGGCGTGGATCAAGCGTGATTCAAGTGCGGTTCAGGTGTAGTTCAAGCGTGTCCCAGGCGCCGCCATTGTAGTTAAAGTGCTTCCAAGTGTAGTGCATGTATAGCCTGCGTTAATTCAAAGCGCAGTCTTGCTCAATGAAATTCAAAAGGTGTAATTCAATTGCGTATGAGGTGTAGCCCGTGTAGCTCAAGTCTAGCTCAAGCGTAAGTCAAGCGTCGTCCAGGTGTAACGTTTTCCACGTGCCGCTCTGGCGTGGTGCAAGTGTTGTGCATGTGCAATCCTTGCAGCCTGATGCGTAGCTCAAGCGAGGTGCAGGACTAGTTCAAGTGCAGTTCACTTGTATCCGCATGCGGTCCAAGTGTAGTTCGAAAGAAATTCAAGTGTAGTGC